TGACCCTCTTCCCTCTCGTGCTCTCTGTCTCTCATTCTCTCTCTCTCAAATAAATAAATAAAAAATCTTAAAAAAAAAAAAAAAGTCCGTTGAATGGTAGGGCGGGTGCCCCCACAGAGGAATGACTTCAGTTTGTTGCCATCACTGAGTCCTCCTTGGAATCAGATCCCAAACAAGTAGATGAAATCTACCTGTAAAGGAGTAGAGGGGTGCCCTTTCCTTTCACTGCCATTGTGTGGGGGCCCTGCAGTTTGTACCAGGCAGAATGGGAAGCGGCCAGACCTGGGACATGGAGTCAGGTGGCTGAGGAGCCCAGGACAGGACGGGCTGTGGAGCTGGCTTTGTCCAGACCAGGCCTCCTGGGATTGGGTGCCCATACCTGGGCTGCTCATCGCAGGTCGATGCGCAGGTGGGGACACTTGAGGTTGGAGGAAGGTGCAGCAGGATGTGGGCTGAGGGGCCAGGAAAGATGGTCCAGAGGCAAGCTGGCCATGTTGGCCGTGCCATCTGGCAGGCCCAAGACCTGCTTGAGGTCAGTTCATCCACCTTAAACCAAACAAGGCCATTGTTTCCTCCACCCATCAGCAGGACTGGTGACTCAGCTAATGGATCCTGCATTGTCGTCATCAAGGAGGGGCTGTATTCCATGGGCATCAATCCAAGACTTAGAAGGAAGAGTGAAGGCTGCTGGGCGAGGCTACAAAGCGTTAGCATGCATGTCCCAGCCCTCACTCTGACCTGGGGCAAGACCAGCTCCCCTGCCAGAGCCCAGTTTTAGGGCATCTCTGTCTTTATCGTATTGATCCCAGCACTTGTGTAGGTGCTTAGGGCTTTTAGTGCTTGGCCTCTGCTCTGCTTCCAGGAATCCACGCTCAAGCTGCTTCCTTGGCATCACAGTGTCTGCACACATCTCACCTCACACTCTCCTCTTCGGGGTCCTCACAGCTGCCCTGGGAGTCAGGCTGGTGATGTACATGTCAGCGGGCCCATTTCCCAGATGGGAGAACATGCACAAGCCCAAAGGGAGGAAGGGATGCACTCAAGTTGACCCAATGAGTTGGTCTGGCCTGGGATCTGAGTATGAGCTGGCCCTCTCCTCCTGCCACTCACTTCCATGTTCATTCTCCTCTAACCACAATGAACTCCTTGGTATTTGCTTCCTGAGCATCCCAAGCTTGCTTCTGTCCCAGGGCCTTGGCCCTGTAGTTCCTCCTTTTGACAGACCCTTTCCCCAGATCTCCGCAGGACTCAGTCCTTCTTGCTTGCATGATTCAACAGCTGCTTAGGAAGCAGAACCTGTATACTCAGTGGGAAGGCAAACAGGGTCACAGAGAGCTTCTGGATTGCACCGCTGGAAGGTGGGATGTGGGGCGGGAAGCAGCGATCTGATCTCCCTGACCGTTCCAGACTCACCACATGCCCCTCTCCACTCGCTGACCTCACTTTAGCTGCATTGGCCTCTCTGTTTTCCTGGATGTGCCAAGCTTCTTCCAGCCTCAGGGCCCTCAGACATTCTGTTCCCTCTGTCTGCGACACTGTTCCACTCTGCTATAGCCTGCCCCATGCACTCACCCCTTGGCCTTCATTCTCCAATCCTCCCAAAGCACTGAGTGTGTCTCATTTGTGGGACTTACTCCAGTGGTGATGGGTTCTGCTGCTCATTTGGTAGCAGTCTCCCACTTGATGACAAGCTGCTTGAGGGCAGGAATTTGTCTGACTTATTCTCTGCTATGCCCAAACACATGGAGCTTAGCTGCATATTAATCTCCTGTTGAGTGAATGAATGGATTCTGGACTAATGAATGAGGTTTATTTGGGTACACTGACGTTCATAGGGGTGCTGTCCAATAGCAGTTGGATATAGGAGTCAGGCTCATATTTTGGTGGGAGGACATATTTGAAGTTCGTCACTATGAGTGAATCTAGGAGGTGCTTGTGCGAGGAAAGAGACTTTGGGTAGGGAGCATAGTAGGTGGGCTTGACGCCCCACAGGCTGCCCTTGATTTTACTCTGAACTTCAAAGAATGCAGAATTCAAGCTTCTT